TTGACAGCCTTGGCATAGGGGTTTTAGGGATTGTCTTGATATGATTGATTTGGTGGGGTTACGATCAGAGTCATCCTCACCTGGCTCTTCTTAGGATTTAAGAATTTTATGCTTATCGTTTCAGATACATGTGCTTGCAACAGGCCTGTGCGAAGCAATTTCAGTTTAGGAGGGTATAGTTCCAAATCAAATTCTTGACAAGGAATAAAAAGTTATTAGACGTAACAATTTCGAGAGGACACCAAGGTATATTAGCTTTGTTTTCTTTTGTATAATATATATTGGCAATATTATTGAGGACAACTGTAGATAAGCCCTGTTTTTTCTTGCTATCAAACTAAAAAAATGGAAAAAAAAATTGGAACCCCCCCCCCCCCTCCCCAGCTAGCTAGGTTCCTAAAAACACCAACCAGGTACAACTGAACATCATTCTCTTATGTTCATGCATTTATTTTTAAATGCCATACTTCTGTGTTCAGTATTTGTTATCAAATGGAATATTAAAAAAGACGCGTTATTGTATCAGCAGGTGTACACACGAGATTTTTTAGCTACTTTGAGAAAAATGAATTTATAATGAATTTATATATCCAAATAAGAAGTTAATACATTTTTTAAAATACGAAAACATTTATATTTTCAACTGGTTTCAGCAGTTGAGTTATCATATTCTTTTAAGATTTCAAATACAATTCATCAGAATTTCTTCAAATTGTTAGCACACAAAAAGGACTTTTTTTTTGTTTCGTCATATATTGTAATCATTCAGTGGCAAGTTTTGTTTATCTTTGAATGGTATAGGGTAGTTCTTGTAGTACATAAATTATATAATTTATCTTCATAGGCCGTTAGACAAAAGCCGCGGAATTAACTTTTTTGTGTTTACCAGTTTACATATACATGTATTTGATAAATATGATCAGACATGCACCTATAAGATTTTAACCGGAGAATCTTTCGCTTTCAGTCCACAAAAATATATTTAGATAAAAAGAATAAATACCTGTTTGTTATCTACGAATGTTTTGTTTTGTTTTTGTTTGTTTGTTTGATTGGGTTTTTTTTTTTTTTTTGTTCTGCTTTCTTTTTACCCGCGATTGCTTTATTTATTTTGCTCAATTTGTACAACCCTGGGATTAGAGGGATCGAAGGGTAATCATGACTGAATTCTAGAGTACGTTTATTGAGATTGTTCAACCCAGAAGTCAGCATGGTTATTGAAAGAAAAAAAAATGAGAGGGTTACTTATGTAACAATGCTAGCATTACATCTTGAACCCCCCCCCCCCCCCCCGCACACACACAAACAATTAACCACCCCACCCCACCCCCCAAAAAAAGATTACACTAAAATGATAATTTTTTACTTAGCAACATAACTGTTTTGTTTGAAGTGTTCAACTTCCATGAGTATATTCGGTACTTTGATTCTCGACTGGAAAACGTTGTCACGTGATATGTAAAAAAATTATTGGATGTCTTGACCGGTATATTCCTCTATTGTACTAAGGTCTACCCATTATTTTCATCTTTATTCATAAATAACAAATGGTCACATTCGCTTCTATAGTGTCTAAAAATATAATGTGTCGGAAATATTGAAACTATTCAAAAGACGTCGTATTTATTCACTCTTATTTGAACTATCAAAATCGTTGTAGATTTAATCTAATTCGTCGTAGAAAAAGGGGCCGCAGAAGTTTTGGCACATCATACTTTTAGTGTATCAGCATTCAAGATTAAATTTTAAGCTATCAAATGAAGTCAAAATCATTTTCCAATAAAAATTGTAGAGATTTGACATAAGATATGAAAATTTGTAAGAACTTACCAACGCATTTCTCCATTGTCTGGTCCCACTTGTAATCCGGACAGCATCCTTTGAATAGTCTAGAAGTGATAAAAATTGGTGATTGATAAAGTAAAATAGATCTGAGGCCGGATTTGCCATATAAATATAACAAATTCAAAGCCGTAAGGCGACAAAACATCTCTAACAAGATCCCTCATTTAATATAATTACCCTGGACAAATATCGCTTGTTAAAGACTTCGTGATAGCACTTATCAAAGCCATACTGTGCTTAAACAATGCGTCATTATTGATGGATATGAAAGAAAGTATATAAGGATAAAAATGTAATACAAAATTTTAACAATTCTTAATTAATTTCCTTGTAATAAAAATAATGTTCATTCTAAAATTATAGCTTCAAGTATCAGTACATAATCTATATCAAACTAGTGGTAATAATTTGTACCAAACTTGTACCAAACAAAAAAATCCTTGACTGACAAGCAACTTAGAAAAAAGCTACCAGACATAATTGTTGAGGGGGCACATACATAGAAAGGCTTTGTAGAGGGGAACACATACATAGAGAAGCTTTGACATTATAGTATACTTAATATCGGCAGAATTATTATAGTCCCCCCCCCCAACCCAGTTCCTACGACCATGATATGAACGTGCCAATTACACTATTCATGCTCCTCTTCATCAGTATTACTGCTTAAACAAATAAACATTTTAGTACACATTACTACAAATGGTAACTAAAATTCAAAAACACACAAATTTCATCGCAGTTATTTGTAAACACGATTTCCTCTTAATAGTAATTTGCGTCGGAAGTGGGGATTTCCTGCTGACTGGGGGAAGGGGGGAGGGTAACGACTTACAAGCCCCCCCTCCCAATGATCAATAAAGTAAATGTAGAAGCCTCTTCTATGTAATATAAAAGATGAGTAACACAAATAAGAGATACATTACATAAAATACATGTAATTACTCATCTACCTACCAGCAATACTCATTTTCCTTTAATACTGTAACATTTGAAATAGGGATTTAAAAGCTGACCCTGAATTTATTTTGTCAGCTTTCTGTTATATATATTTGAGGGTAATATAGATCTAATTTGGTAACAGTAGAATTTTTTTTTTTGCACATATTGATTCCTCCCTTCCCCTCCCCTATCACGGATGTAAAGTGTTTATCTATGTTTTCGGTATATATATAATTATATATATTCTTGACTTTACATAGCAATAAAACTTAAATTGATAATCTTCGAGTGAAAAGGTTTTGATGAGTACAATAAGCAATGATTTCATAATAAGTTCATGATTTCAAATACGTTTCAGTAGATGAGCAATGTCGATCATTTTCTTTTAAAGCACTGGTTGTTAACTTTACAATATTTTAGCATCACCAAGATGTGGAATAGTTAAATTACATGTAGGACTAAGTAACTTGATATCAAAAAAGTATTTCCTGACTCTGTTTTCATCTTCACTATTTAAGAATGGAGGTAGGTTCGGTTTCACACATTGCTTGAAATAGTCAAGTCTTAAAATGTAAGTGCAACAATGACATAAAACTGTATATCCTTTGTTTTGTGGTTTGCACTGAATGCTTCAAGCTTTACACAAAATCATAGCACAAAAAGAGGAGTGCATGAAAGCAACACTCTTTAACACGGGTAGAAGTTCACTCACTCCCCTTGTAAATATATCAAAGTAAAAAGTATATGTGCATGAATTATTCTATACAGTATGCTCTTATGAGTTTACTTTTCACAGTTCGGAGAATATCAATGAAAATAACACATGAAAAAGGCAGTGAAAAGATTGGTAAATAAAGTAAAGATTGTTTGAATTGATTTATATGATATTATCTACAGGAACAATTTTCCCTAGATGAAAGAAAGTGAATAAAGTTTAGAATAAGATAAAAAAGAAAGAGTTAAATTAATAAAACCAAGTTATATCCTTTAGTCTTTACTTTAAGTTACGATACTTATACCCTTTCCATCTTAAGTCACTTAAATTCGCAGATTTATATGAATTCCTCAAATTGAAAAAAGAAAAAAAATATTTGGCGCAAGAAAATGTAAAACAAGGGCTGGTAATGTTTTTGTACAAACTTATGATTTTGAAACAATTCTACATTCCAAGATTAAACCCTTACATGTCTTTCTCATTTCAATATCGTAAGTTCAGTTTCATAACATTTGCACTCAGCTTAGCCTACCCGAGAGAGAGAGAGAGAGAGAGAGAGAGAGAGAGAGAGAGAGAGATTATCTTCATTTTGAAGTGGTGAACTAAAAAAGCTTTCTTTTTCAGTCTCCAATGTCTGTAACTTCCTCCATTTCAAATATCCTTATTAAAGAATACATAAAACAACACAACAACATATAGCACTCGTCATAGAATGCCATCATATTTGGTGTAAGGTAAGGAAAGACATGAATGTTTGTTTCCTCAATATGTATTTTTATACGGACAAAGATAAAATAAAATACAAAGACAAAATAAAAAAAAACGCCTCCCATCCTTCCTCTGACATTACGGGTAATTATTTTCTTTCTTTTTTTTCAAACAAAACATATATATCAAGGCGAATGTTCCATTTTTTTAAATTAAAAGTACGTTAAATATACACCCTTGATTTTATTTTAGGTTATTTAACATTCAGGATCAGCATATTTGAATGAAAACAAGGAAATTATTCAACTTTTATTTGAAAGCGCCAGTCGATAACAGATACTCTTTGTAAATGGAACTCGTGATGAACTCGTTCAGTATGTTTCTACCTTTGATTTTATTTGCTTTAAACCTGGTGTCAAAGGGAGGTTCTGCGAACAATAATTGTGAGGGGTAAGTATATGCATACTTTTTAAATATTATATTAATAGAAACATACACGTATCATGTTTATGTCAAATGCGTTACAATGAAAGTCTATTAATTAAGACGTATCCTGATTCATAATCTCTATGGTTTCAATTCTCCCAGGAAACCAAATAATTGCTGCGATGGATATATGTTCGATATCATCACCAATAGCTGTAAAGGTTGGTGCACATATAACTCACATTTTTTTCATAATTCACACATTGATATATAACATAAACGTAGCTCTCAGTTCATATTTAGGGACATACATGTAGATAGAAAATTGAATATATGTCTGCATTATTTTATTTGTTTGAAGAATGTGATATCGGATTCTTTGGACAAAACTGTTCAGAAAAATGCCCTTCAAGAACGTATGGTAGAAACTGTCAAAAGATGTGCAGATGTGTAGAGCCTTGTCATCATGTTTATGGATGCGGTAGATAATTAATATGATATCACTATGATTTTATTCTATGAATGATATATAACTATTTGTTACAATCCGTATAACTATAAAGGCATAGTTTTTCTTTTTCAAAGACCTGGTGAGTACATTAATCACTCCTACAAGCGGGGAAATCGAGAAAAGCGTTGAGGCGTCAGAAACATCTACTTCTCAAAGCTCTGTGTTTGATTGGAATCATCCTAGTCCTGCATCAAGACCTATCTCTAATCGGCTCCATTGGGAAGCAAAATTGAAACCCAGTTTGAATCATAGAACGAACAATCCTGGACATATGAACCACGGCCTTTATGCAATTGTAATATCGAACACACTTCTTACTCTTCCAGTAACAATCGTGGTTATCATATTTATTTGCAGAAAATTCAAGAAAAGGAGACGAAAATTTGAAATACAAGTGGAAAATATAGACAATGATGATGTATGCTACAATGATTTGAATGAAATCAACACCTGTGTAAAAATTTCCGAATATGATGCACTTTCCAATTGCATGGAACATGTTGATGACACGTCTACAGCAAGCCTTGTCTGCCTTGAAAATGGTCCAATTCAACGAAAAGCCCGACAAAATAGCTACGTTCCAGTCAAGGAGAAAAAAGCTAAAGAAAACGACGAAACAATGCATAATAAAGACATCTACGCAAAAGTGAAACGTAAACAAACAACTACGAATTGTATATCCATGGACAACAGCATCACTATTGAAACCATGGAGAGCGACACTACGACAACTGACCATCAATCAATTAATGATGAATCCCTGTACATTGTACCCTTACAACCTACTGTTGATGAACCAGGGATACACATTAAATCCCTGAAAAGTTCAGTGTCTATCTGCAGTACCGATGTAAAAGAAACTGAGAATACGGATAAAGAAGGCAACATCTATACAGATCTCATGTAATGGGAGGTTGCTGTTATGTCGAAATAATTGACATTTTTTGAAATGATACTGCGATCCTTCAAGAGAGAGAGAGAGAGAGAGAGAGAGAGAGAGATTAAATTTGATGTGCCTCTATTATGTGACCGTTATTATAATATATTCCTAGCGAAAGGAGTAAGACTTCTATAATGATCATCAGTTTCTTTTTTTTAAAATCTTTATTTCTATGTTTTAATCTAGATTTTAGCTGCATAATATATGCAATTTGAATTAAATTTTCTCTCTCTCTCTCTCTCTCTCTCTCTGTGAGGGAGGGTATGTGTATGTGTGTGTGTTCGTTACTATCACACCGATCTGAAAGTTTTCGCAGAATTAGAGGTAATTTCAAAGACCGTATATATAGTCCTATATTGTATCACAATAGGAGTCTCAACGTTTATGAGTTCCTCTCTTAGGTCGGGTTTAGTTTCCTCTCAATATATAATTAGTTTGATTTGAGGAAGTTTTTTTTTTTTTGTTTATGTAAAACAGGACATTGTTCAGCTGTTTGATATTCAAAACTTCCAATGTCCTTTATCCAACTTTTTCATCCTTTATTCTATAATATTTTTCACGAAAAAAGCAAATAAAAATATGGATATTTTAATTTTCCTTTATTCGTGCTAACTGTTGAACCTAGATGTTATTAAGTACAAAACCTAAGAACGTGCAGAAGTTACATTTTCACATTCTTTTTCCATATAAATATGCGGATAATCTATTTAAAAAAAATGTAATATTCTTGAATTTCTTTTTTTTAAAAATATATTTCTGTTTTCACAGGCATGTATTTTTATTTTAGATAAATGTAAGTTATAGATATTTATGGAACATTGTACATAATAAACGAATATATGACACTGTTTTGGATCTTTTTGCAATTGTTTTACCAAGCTGTAAATGAAGTGAATCCGAGATAATTTACAAGCAAGAGCAAAGATCGATCTTTACATGATCATATTAGGGAGAATATTTGTACAAATACAATGTCTTCCATCACTGTTTATTACGTAATTTCACATCAATAGGTCACCTAATCAATATATACAGGAGGTGGGGCAACCCTAACAAAAATACTATAGTTAACTATAGTTAACTATAGTAAATCAAAGTGTCAAAGTTATCACTATAGTAAATCAAAGTGTCAAAGTTATCACTATAGTAAATCAAAGTGTCAAAGTTATCACTATAGTAAATCAAAGTGTCAAAGTTATCACTATAGTAAATCAAAGTTTTCAAAGTGATCACTATAGTGTCATAGTAATCACTATAGTAAATCAAAGTTTTCAAAGTTATCACGATAGTAAATCAAAGTTTTCACCATAGTAAATCAAAGTTTTCATACTGATCACTATAGTAAATCAAAGTTTTCATTGTTATCACTTTAGTAAACCAAAGTGTCAAAGTTATCACTATAGTAAATCAAAGTTTTCATAGTGTCAAAGTTAACACTATAGTAAACTATAGTTAACTATAGTATTTTTTGTGAGGGAATCTATCAGCTTTATTACAGCATCTCTATCTCTCTATCTCCCTCCCCCTCCTCTCTATCTCCGATTGATCGAAATTCGAATATATGTATGATGTCAGCTAGCCTACAACAACAACAGCAAATCGATACTGTATGAAATTTGAAAGATTTCTGTATTAATTCTGTATTAATTTTGTAAAGACAAACAAAAATGTAACAACAGATTGAATTTGCTTATTTCTGCAAATGGCAGCCCTACCAAACACGCTTTTAGGTCGGAATTAGATCGAGGTCAAGTTTTAGAATAGTATACTCTCAGCTGGACATCAACTGATTAAGATCTACAGGTCAAATCAAGATTAACACAATCATAACAATGAAATTGACAGGATTGTTTTGAACATGAAGGAAGAGCGCACGTTTGCCGGGTTATCTCCTTTAAATATGACATTATTTTGCACAATATGCAAGTGCTGTGCATGGCCGTAGGAACCGGGGCGGGGGGGGGGGGCACGGCCCCCGCAATAATTTTGCCGATATACAGATTACTATAGAAAACATGCCTACTATGTGCTTGTACCCCCTCAATAAAAACGTCTGATGATTTTTTTTTTTTTTTTTTTTTTTTTTTTTTGCTTGTCAAGGAATTTTTGGTAGTTGATAGTGCCCCCTTAACCGAAAATGTATGGCTGTGCCTCCCCTAAACTGCTGTGTATTAATTTTTTTTAGAACAGCCGAAAACGTGCTGACTATGTATTCATACGATGAAAAAGCGTGGCCTTGATAATCCATTGATTAATGAAATGTGATATATTTTAATTGTAATGTTAGGAAATTGATAATAAATCTATGATTGATTGATTGTTTGCTAATTTACGTGTCGTGCAAGATTATTTCACTCACATTAGACACCAATCTTAGAAGGAGACATGTACTTTATTAAAACCGAAAAAAAAGTTTCTGTTAGAAAATAAACGCATATTTCACGTAAGTTTCATTGTACTCAAATTGTACTCAAATGGTTTAGACTATGGTGGTTTCTCATAAGTATATACGAAATCTCTCTCACTCCCTCTTTATAACCTGTTTGTTTTTTCTCTCTATTGTAGATATCCTGTTTATTTGTACCTCCGCAAATCAATGACAACTAATTTTATTAACACAGACACTGCCTATTCTAGAAATACGAGGGGTTATCAAAAAGTTCATGGACTAGCGTCATAAAATTAAAACCGCTTAAGATACATCAATGAATTTTTAAACATTAAATAAGCATCTTCTTTTCTATCTGTGAAATAAACTATAAATCATTACTTTTATTTTTTAGTGAATCGTAAATGTTTTTGTAAGCAATGGTATGTCAAGGCGGCGCAACCTCGAACATGACGTATTTTCTACCCGAGTGTAACTGAGAAAAACTCTTCTAATATGAGCATTTGTCATCCGAAAATCCCATTAATTCACTCATGTGATACATGTATGACACAATTTTCCCGTAAAAGTTGCAATTTTTACCTCATTCTGTATATTCTATGAAATTTTAACGTAAATTTTATAGGGAATGTCCAAACAATAAATTGGTTAAAAATGACGTCGAAAGGGGGACGGTGTCATTTTACAACATTCTATAAAGCTTCAGCCCCTGGAAAATCTGACATAGACTTAGAAAATGTTTAAACAGGCTACAGAGAAATAAAATAAATCCCGAGTACTTGTGTTGAAATACCAAAACAGATTCAGCTAGAACAGAGGCACACGGTTAATGTCGATTTGTTGTCAGGGTGTCCAAAGTCAGAAACGTCGAAAAGTGACGTTGATCATTGGTTGACATTGAACTCCGGCAAGAAAATTATGCCGACAAAATCAAGCAAGGATTTTTTCCTATGTATAGATTTAATATTTACAATATTAATGCATTGAAATCAGGTGTTCATGAGATTGTAAAGTCATGTAAACAAGACGGGTTTAGGTCTTTACTTTCCTCCAGAGAATCTCATAAAGATAAGTGTATTGAGACAGAAGGAGCTGGCATTGAGAAATAATGACGTTGTCGGACGTCATGAAAATAAACTGCGACAGCGCCGGGTGATCATATAATGCCCTTTTTATTTAATGATAATTTGGCTAATTATCAACATATCGAGCTGAAATTTTCAACACTTGTTTAACTTTTGTTGGTTTATGTTCCCTACAGATTTTTTAATCAACTACTACATAGTATTAATTTTATCGCATCAGTCCAAGAACTTATTGATAACCCCTCGTAATTGCCAGAGCAACATGCAGATTTACAAAACACGGAAGTATAGAAAGGAATCTAGGTTCAATTTTGTGTCAATTGAGATATCATCTATTCATTTGTGGATACAGGGCGGGCTCTCCATTAAAACATATTTTTTATTAATGAAACAATTGAACGCTTGTCTGAACTTTGCATACTATTTTTTTTCTTTTTTTTTCTTTTTGAACAACAAACTCCAAGGTTTTAGGTCAAATTTGAAAGTTCAGTTTTGAAATGAATTTGTATTACTATACTATGCCTAACGACTGTGCAAGAGTTTTTTTTTTTAGTATAAGTCACTGGTGATTTTTCGTATTGTTCTGATCTACATGTAGTCAAGCTGATTGTTAAAACATTTGGCTTTTATAAAAAAAAAGAATCTTTAATTAAATTCGTAAAAGCATACATTTTTCCCGAGGTTTAAAAATAGGACACATTAATTTCATGAGTTGTCTCTTTTTCCTGGGTGGGAAATCCATGAACTACTATTTTTAGTATTTTTATGTACATCATGAATATTTTTAGATCTTGATCAAAATTGTTTTGTTCTATGTTCTTTTCAATGCGTCAATAGGAACCTTTCAAGTGGAGGTAAGTTTGAAATGTGGTATATTATTATTTTTTTCTTAATTCATTGTTCTACAAACAATTTACCTATAGTAATTTCAAAATAATACAAATTTTCAATTTTCACTCATTTTATTTTCTTAAATTGTGATTATATAGTTTACTGCAAAGAAAATAAACAATACTGCTTACTCTGTGCATAAAACTCATTTTTTTCTGTGCTTTGATGGAATTTACGCATAATAAAAATTATAATAAAATGAAAGAGAAGTACATAAACAACAGGTACAGGTGTAATGTGTCACAGATAAGAAAAGAAAAGAAAAAAAAAACCCCAGAAATTTGCCGAACAATGATTAAGATGATTCGTTTCTCATAACTGACTTTTTTTTTCTTGTCCTTCTCAAATCAAATCAAAAGACTGTCTGGAAATATTTAAAGAACCACGGAGGTTTTAAATGTAATTTTAGTTTTCGTTAGCTCTCCTAGCTTTGCTGTGGAACAAGATGAATTGAATATTTTTTTTTCATATTCGAAGTCCTTTCCAGGCACTAAGCATTGCTTTTTGAAAGTTGAAAGGGGGGGGGGGGGGGCAGCCAGAAAAAAAAAATTCTGAAAGGAACTTTTTTTAAAAAAAGAACGATTTGACTACACTGCAACCAAGAGTTTGGTAGGGGTAGCCTTTCAATTAATATTTTCAACAGTAAAAGGTATTGTTTGTAAATCCCACCCACCCCTGATATACACTGTAGCATGACTAAAATCTGCAAGCACTAACTATGGTATTGACTTCGTGTGTTGATAATCTTTACTCTCGGTATGAAGTGTTTTCGATTGAATGACTTCAGTTGTGCACTATTC